ACCACTTTGGAAAACAGTATAGAGGTCCCTCAAAAAACTAAAAATAGAACTGCCATATGATCCAACAATTCCCGAATGTAAGTTGGATTAAAGGCACCTGACACCCATGTTTACTTCAGCATTATTCACAATAGCTAAGCTATGAAAACAGCCAAGATGCCCCACTACTGATGAATGGATTAGGAAAATGTGGTATTTACATACAATGATATGTTATTCAGCCATAAGGAAGAATAAAATTTTGTCATTTGCAGGTACATGGATGGAACTGGAGAACATCATCTTACGTGAAGTAAGCCAGGTTCAGAAAGCTAAAGATTGAATGTTTTCTCTCATATATGTAATATAAGGTGCAACACAAATACAAGCAATACTATGAAAAACAGTTCATGCTAAGAGGAGGTCACTATTGAGAGAGGGAGGGTAAGAGAAGGAAGTTAAGAAGGTGAATATGGTCTATGTGCTTTCTATGCAAGAATGAATATAGAATTTTTAAACCTGTTGAAATTACCCTAAGAAGGAGACTAAGGAAGGAAGGAGAAAAATAAAGGGGATGAAAAATTTGGGTTGTGGAAATGTCACAATAAAACTCCCTGTATAGCTATCTTGAACAAATAAAAATGCCATTTTTGCTTTTATAAAAAAAGAGAACAGGAAGGCAAAACAGGTCCTGTCTGAGGGGTTGGTACCAGTGGGAAGGGGAGGATATAAGGAAAGGGTGTAGGAGGATGAATATGATAGAAATACTATGTACACATGTATATAAATGGAAAAATGAGACCTGCTGAAACTATTCCAGAAATGGGTGGGGGGGAAATAAAAGAAAATAATGGAGGGGGTGAATCCAACTATGATATATTGTAAGAACTTTTGTAAATGTCAAAATGTACCCTCAGTACAACAATAACATAATTTAAAAAATTTTTAAAGGGTACACAGACTGCATTGGGGTTGTTATCAAGAAGTAATCCCTGTACATTCCCTGCTATTTTCTCATATACCGACTACTTCAAATGGGGCCCCAAGAATCCCAGTCACTTTCAATGTAAATTTCATATATTGGTCACACTAAGGTTAGTGTAAGATATTAATGGTTACCATAATGATTCATAGGTTGTTTATAGGCTATCCTCTTGGGTTAAATATGCTATTGATGGAGCTGAGATGAAAAATTCCCTCTTAATCCATAACTCATCTTTAGGTGGTAGTTACAAAATTTAAAAAAGGCTACATCAGTCATAAATAAATTTGTATTCATATTGGAAATTTATGAGAGCTTGATAGATATGGTAATATTGATCTCACTCTATAGAGTAAGAATCTATCTACATTTGAACTACTAATGATTCTTAAGTATGACAAAATTTGAAAAGTACAGCCCTGAATAGCTTTCATTGCACCTTGTAAAGGAAGTCTGTGGGGATCGATTCCCTTTGCTGAGAATTTTTTCTGGAGATTTGGTGCCTGAGATACAAAAACAGAACAAGAACAGAAGGGGGAGCCCTAATCCAGTTGCCAGATCTTTGATTTGGTTGGCTTCCTGTTCACAGGCCTGGCAGGGTGAAATGAAGTATTAAGAACAGCAGAAAGAGAGGAAAGAAGACAAAAAACCACTTGCTACTCCTTCTTGGTGGGATTGAGGGTAGCAAGGAAAATCTAGCAAGGCCCTGGCATCTCAGAGATGCATGGAGACTGGAGACAGGGCAGAGGGAAAACCATAGACACTAGGGAAAAACAGTCACTGAGAGGCTTTGACACCTCAAGATGTCACATCTCCTCATTTCTCTGATACTGATCAGATGCTTTATTTGTATGTCTGTGACTCTTACCAGTGAATTCTATGAAAAGAAATAGGCCCTTCAACCACAGAATCACACAATGAACAAAGATGTTCTTTAGATTCTTCAGTTACTGAAAGAGAACAACTCTTATTTTCTTGAAAGCAGATAAAAGCAGAACAGATTCCTAGACTTTACATAACGTTGAAATAAACCCTTGAAAATTGTATTCCCAGTTTTCTTCACTTCAGGTAGATTTTATTGCTCAGAAAATCTATGGACGTGACCAGTAAATACTTCTTGGATGAAAGGAAAAATTGCTCACTTAGAGTCACATCTTATCAGAAAAGATAAAAAGTCAGGGATGACTTTTAATCATTTAAGCAAGTCAGTTGTCTCCAGCCTTTTAGTTTTGTCTCCTGTAGGGTCAGCCTGGTGAGATGAGAAAGCAGTAAGAAGAAATTTTCACATGGCCTGGCCCCAGGCTGGATGTAGAGTGGGTTCTGAAGCATAGTTTGGAGCAGTTGTGATGGGGTTATGGGAAAGGCTTTCAGAAGTGAATGTGGTTCCCAAGACATGGTCAGAAAACTAGTTAGTTACTAGGGATCTTATAGGGAACAGACAGTAAATGTGGAGTCCAGTAAAGTTGCCAGAACAAGACTTTGGGTCTAGAACCAAGGAGCCAAAAAGGAGATAGACATGAATGAATGTCATGCCTGTTTATAAATTTTAATCCAGGTGAAGTTGGACAAGACTGCTCCCATGCAGTGTTCTTTGTAAAGCCACATGCACTCCCTAACCATGTCTTCCATACTCACATCCTCAGGTTGCCATTGCAGCTATTGACAAAAACAAGTGGAGAGAGTGCTGAATGTCAGTTCATAATTGTCCCTTCAGTCCTTGAACAATTTACCCATGTACATGGTGGCAAGAAACTCTTCCCTGATTGCTGGCAAAAAGCTATTCTTATACTATGTTTACAAATTTAACTTTTGAACAATACTGTCTTCCTGTTGGGGGTAATTTTTTTCTTGAAAGCATGAGATTTGCATAGAAAATAAACTGCCAAAGAAAGCTGAAATGAAGTACTTTGTTCTTCTCATGAGTCACAGTTACAGGCAAACCTTTGGAGTTGCCATACCAGACAATGAAAAAATTCCACAAACCTATGCTGGGAACCAGCTTCAGAAGACAAGGCATCTAAGCTGATCTCTGAGCTGTAGGTAAGCAAGTTTGGCATCCACATGGTGACAAGTGACATTCCATTCTTCAACACACCCAGGGGAACACCAAGACCTAATAGCTGACTGCCTGGAAGGAGCAAGAAGGATGCCTTCTCTCACACAATAAATAAAATGCCTGCATGGTAAGTGTTGGTTAAATACTGTCCGTGGGGCCAGATGCAGTGGTTCATGCCTATGATTCTAGCTACTCAGGAGGGAGAGATTGGGAAGATCACAGTTCAACACTAGTCAGGGCAAAAAGTTAGAGACACCCCATATCAATAAGTAAGGCCAGTGAGGTGGTGTGTACCTGTGGTCCCAGTTATGCAGAAAGCAGAAATAGGACAATTGTGGTCCAGGCTGGTCCTAGCAAAAATGCAAGATCCTATCCAAAAAAATAACTAAAGCAAAAAAGGGCTGGGGCATGGCCCAAGTGATTGAGCACCTGCCTAGTACTATGGCTGAGCTTCCTTCTGAATCACAGTCGGGCAAGAAACCTTTCAACCCCTCTGATTTTATATCTCTTCAGAAGGAAGGGGGAAGTAAGATGAAAGGAGCTGGAAAGCTAAAGGCCCTGAGTTCAAACTCCAGTACCATAAAAACAGAACAGAAGAAAACAAAACAAACAAACAAACAAAAGCCCTGTCTGTTACTATGATTGTTTGTCAGGGCACAGGAGGCCAGAACTGGCTCAGAAGACTCCAGTTGTTTGAAGAGGAAGAATGATATTGAACTGACCCTGTAGACGGTAAGGACTGTGAAATCCATGTGGAGATCTAGGACAGATTCTGCCTGCCTGCTCCCCACCCTTCTCAGAAGCCTTCAGCTGGAAGCCACAGCAGAGAAAAGTGTGCAGGTGACCAAAGTTTACAACAATATTACAACAGCTGTCATTGTATTAGGAATTCTGTGTAAACATAGGCGAGAAAGGGGATTCCTAGGATAATTTGGTAACTGACAGAGAACATGACATAGTGAAAAATAATGGAATTTGGGGTCCATTGGTCTTTTTGTTTTAACACAGTGATTATACTCCCAATCTTAAATAAGCTTTTAAATTTTCTGAGCCTTAGTTTTTCACCTATAAACTAGGCATAATAAAACCTACCACTCAATAAGAACATTCATTCCTCTCTCCTTGGCTAATTTATCATAATTGTTCTGAGACTCAGTGTCTTTACTTAAAAAAATGGGAATAAAAATTATACCTGTAACTAGGAATTGATATTTAAATGAGACAATTCATAAACTCAAAACCAATATATAATTATCAGGTATTATTAATCAGTTATAAAATATTTGCAAAGCTTACTATATACTAAAACCTGTGATGGGTACTGGAGAAATAGGTTATCAATCAGGGCCCTGCCCTCAGTTGCTAGGAGATAAATCCATTCTTTTCCCTGGTCTGGAGAAAAAAGGCAGAAAGGCCAGGGGGAAAGGTTTTGTGGCCTGTGCAGCATCCAAATTCCTGGCACTCAGCCCTCCCTGGGGGATATTTGATACCCTATTCCGGCATGGCCTGAGAGCTTGGCCAGGCTGCATGACCCTGGCTCAGAGGACAGGACTGCAGGGTGATTTCCAAATCCTTCAAAATAAGCAGGCAAGGGAATCTTACAACCAATGACAACCTGAGTGTAGAAGGGAAGTAGCTGTGCTGACTAACCAAGGGGGCTGTCAAGGAGGAGGAAAGAAAAATCACTAGCAGTTTCTGTGTTTCTATTGCAAGTGAATTGACCAATCTTAATACACTGATTTCCACTCCAACCAGGGAGGCCTCCTGCTTTTAAGCACCTTTTGTTTTATTTTTCTCCTCCTTCTGTGAAGATATAAAATGAGTAAGGGGTGGAAGATTTCTTGCCCAACTATGATTCAGATGGAAGCTCAGCCTCAGTACACACAAGTGCAGCTTCGCCTTAGAGAAAAAGAACTTGTAGAGGCAGGTCCCAGAAAGATCCACCCTAGATTTTTCAAAGAAGACACCTCCTTCATCACCTGTCCTAAGACTTACCAGTTCAGGAAGAAACCCTCTGTTTCCACATTGACCCCTGATACAATACAGCCATCGGGCTCCATGTGAGTAAACCAGCAATCTCTACAACATGGCCCACAGGGGTGCTGCAGGCTCTGTCTGCATCCTGAAGTTTGTGGCTCTGCTGGTTGCCCTAAGTCCGGAACTTCTATTCCTGGGGGCAGAAGTGCAGCTTCGAGACAATGGATATAATGGATTACTCGTTGCAATCAATCCTCAAGTACCTGAGAATCAGAACCTCATCCCAAGCATCAAGGTGAGTGGTGATTATAAAGTCAATATCATTATCCCATTAGATTAGACCTGTAGCCGTCTTTAAAAAGCTGACCACCCTACCTTTGAATGTGAGCTGTAAAGAGAGCAGTATTCCTTAAAGAAAGTACCAGAAACTATTATTATGGCCAAGCCAGTTTGTTCTCTTAATTGTGCATAGTCTCAGTATTCAGGTGACAATCTAGCCTCCTTTTGTTGTTGCTGGTGTTAATTTTAGGATTCTGTGGTTCTGTTGTTTTCCTACATGACTGTTTCAGGAAAAGCAACTTAGAAAAACAACTCAGTATAGCAAAAAGAAGATAAGAAGTTTGATGAATAAGCATGATAGTGCTTATTAAAATCATCTTGTTGGATTTCATCCTGAGGGTGAGAATTCTCAGACCGAAAGGGTGAGAGTCTGTGTGGAGTGCCAGAGAGAAAAATTCTTTCCTTTTACCTAACATTCTGTAAAGTAATTGACTATTTTCCCTTTAATATGGCAAGGGAGGATCATTACTTAAGAGCCCTGTGTGGTACTGCTTGAGTGAAAATAGTATACTCATAAGGTGTGGTCCTGAACATGCCCACAGGTGTGACATGAGAACATGTCAGTAAAAGCTTCAAACCCTTTCAGAAAGTTAGGAAAATCATGAAGGCAAGCCCAGACACACAATTAGTGTCCTAAAGTCTCTTCCAAATAATTCTTTCACTATTTTTTATTTTGCTCCTAAGTTTCCATGGGCTCCTTCAAGATATCTTTATTATTATTATTTATTATTACCTATTTTAAGTGTAACCCAAAAGGCAAGACTTAAAGGATTTACAAGCACTAAAATGAACTTTTCTTTTGTTTGGTTATAGGAAATGATAACTGAAGCTTCTTTTTACCTATTCAATGCCACCAAAAGAAGAGTGTTTTTCAGAAATATACAGATTTTAATACCTAACACTTGGAAAGCTAATAATTACAGCAAAGCAAAGCAAGAATCGTATGAAAAGGTAAGAACTCAGGATTTTCACCAAATGAATTTAACTCACATTGAAGGGAAAAATTCAAAATATAGTGTGTCAATGATATTAATGCATGGATGACATTGCTGGGCAGAGTGTTATTAACAAAAATATGTAGGCTGTACCCCATACATATATACGATTATTATGTGTCAAAAATTTTAAATTAAAGAATAGAAAAGAAAAATATGAAAATAAAATAAATGAGTGTAAATTATGGAATAAAAAAGTAAGCAAAATACTATTTTGCCCATGTAGTTCTCAGAAAATCTCTTTATTCTATAACTTGGAAGTTTCTTGTGAAATTTTCTGCTGAGGACCAAGAATCAGTTTTGTTCTGCTGAAGATGAGCAGTGAAGGGAACAATTCCAGCTATGACTGTCTTCATTTACCACCCTGTCAAGGGCAGCAACATGCATGTCCAGACAGAAACACAGACACCCACGCATGTAAAAATATGACTATTATCTCATGCCATGGTGTAAATGAGCAGAATTTGACCTTAGCCCAAGTCTAGGGTACTGACTTATAGTAGTAAGGAGATAGAGAGGAAAGCCAGAAGGTAGTGAGTATTTGAAAGGATGGCTACGTTTTCTTTTCCAACAACAACAACAAAAACTAATTTAGCCTTGAAGAACTCTCATAAGTGGCAGTTTGTGGGTAAGCACCTATGAGGATGCCGTCACATACTGATATGGACCTATAAACAATTATTAAATAAGTTTGGCACATGACTTGAGAGTTGCTATGAACAAGAGCCCATGGAAGTTATCAGGAGTGCAGGCAACGAGAACAACTCAGCTCAGGGCTTCAGCAGAAGTGGGCTTGAGGTTTGTAAGGGCTCACAGGCCTGTCATAATGACAGATCCCCTTTTCCTTATTCATGTCATTTGGTATGAAATTTCATGAGATTATTTTAATTCTTAGCTCTCCTTTGAAGAAACTCTCAGAAATTGAATGTTATACTAGTGTAGATAAGTAATGTCATGGAGAAGTTAAAGAAGTTCTTAAAAGCATTTGACTTATGACCAGATGAAAGCATTTGATAATGCTCGGCATGAAGATAAGATAGGTAGGGAATGGGATGAACTGGGGGGAGACCTAGTGTTTGTTAAGCTTCAACTAAAGGCTGGGTGTTTTACATATACCACTTAACTTTCATGCAGTCTAAAATTAGTTTTTATCACTAATTTCCTTAAACCTCATAATGTCAATTAAACACTCAGTGAATGGGGCACTGCAGGGAGAGGACTATGCAAGAACATGACCTCTTTAGCCTCTTTTGTGGGTGTTACCTTGCAATGCCCATGTGTTTATTAGTTTATTACAAAAACAACTCATGCTCCCTGGGAAAAAGTCTCCAAATACGCAAATATGGAAAATTTTTATCTTATCTTTCTCTAGTCCTCAGTGGTTCTTTCTCTTTCTCTCTCTTTCACACACACACACACTCACACACACACACACACACACACACACACACAAACATACACAGCACATGTACTGATAATTATATTTATTAGATCATATTAGATCCAACTGTTCCAAAATCAGCCTCATCCACCTCTTATTTAACAGCATACTTAATGTCTAAGAGCATGTCTCAGGCAATATGCTATTTTGAGTCCTGAAAATGAGAAACAAGCTTTTATACAAAATTGTGCTGTCTTGATGGCTATGTAAATAGATATTTACTTTAGTTTTAGGCTTAAGAAATTGTGTTTTAGTGATAGTAATTAAAATGGTCAGGACACACAAAGAAATAAGAATGATTGCATTCCTGATATGCCTGGTTATGGAAATGAAATGAAAAGAAACACATATAACCCACAGAAATTTGTTTGCAAAAGGCTGCAACTCTTTACAATACAGTTCTGAATAACATGTAAATGCTCTTAAAAGTTCTTTAAACATTTTATTATATTTTATAGTGTTGACTTTTGAAAGTATTTTAATCTGAACAATAAGCAAATCAAAGGAGATAATGAAGTTCCTTGGAAATTGCTAAGTTTTTTTTTTTTTTTTACTCAGAGTTGAGCTGCACCCTCAGGTAATTTGCTTTTACTTGTTTTTCAGATAGAGTCTCACACTAATATTGTCTGAACTGGCCTAGAACTGTGATCCAACCACTTTTACTACTGAGTAGTTGAAGTTACAGGCATGCACCAATGTACCACCACACCTGGTGACATCTGCTGTTTTTAAAATAAATGTTTTTGAAAATGCCAAATCATTTAGTTAATGCTTAGCTATGAGTACATTCTAAATGCTTTCTATAAGGTGCTTCTTTTTCTTTAATCTGTTTTTAAACTAGGATGTAATTATATATGTAGTAAAATGCACAAATCTTAGGTATACAGTTCAAAGTGCTCTAAAACTTGTATTCATTTATATCACCAACATCACAGTCAAGATCTAGAGTACTACAATGCATTTCTTATAATCTAGGCAAATGTCATAGTGACCGGTTGGAATGGGGTACATGGAGATGATCCATACACCCTACAGTACAGAGGGTGTGGAAAAGAGGGAAAATACATTCAATTCACACCTGACTTCCTTCTGAATGATGACTTAACAGCTGGCTACGGATCACGGGGTAAGTTCAACTAACCGAAAAATAGCCAAATAGTACTATTTTCAGTATTTTGTGCTTGGCGCTAAAAGGGACTTAGAAAACCTGGAATCTATCAAGGACTTAGCATTTGGATGGGGAGATAGTCCACATGCACATGCAAAGATGTGTGACAAAGTGAACCAGGAAGGATTAAGCATCAGATTAGTGGTCCAGAAAACTGGGGGGTGGGGGAGCTCTAAGAATTCAATGAAGGAATTTTGAGTCACTGGTGGTTAGAGCAGACCTCACCAAGGAGATATCATTTTGATTAATGGGAAGAGGGAGATAAACTGTGGCTGCAGAGTCCAAGGCATGTTTGAGAGAGGCAGAGCAGTAGAGCTGCTGATACTGCAGAGACTGGTATGGGAGAAAATGTTGGAACGCTCATGGGACAGGTGGTATGATGAATAGACTAACAGGTGACACGATCAAGTCATCTCTGAAGGTTCATAAGCATAGGAGAGACTCCATTACAGCAGTGTTTGCAGAAGATGAGTCTGGCTGTGTGGATAACCTGGCCCAACCAAATCAATGAGGGAGGAAGTGTATATCAGAAGAATGACCAGGAGCAGTCCAGGTAGGAGGCCATGAGACCTGAGTAAAAATGGAGGCAATGAGAAGGGAAGTGTAAGAAAGATAGAACCATGAGAGCTTCCTATGTGCCAGGGACTCTGCTGCTTGATTTGTAAATATTTTCTTGTTTAATCTTAACAACTCTAAGTGATGGGAAATATTTCAGAGTTTAAAATGAGAAATAGAGGTCTAGCCTGCAGCAGAGTGTGCAGGGAAGCATTAAGGAAAAACGAAGTCATCAGAAATAGAGGAGCCAGCTGAAAAGGAAAACCACAAGTCTGGATGTAGGCAAGAGGATGGCAGGTGTGATAACTGTCCTGCAGAAAGTTCAGATTGTGGCTGGAGGTTGATGGTTGGAGCATGGGAGAGAAGTGACCAGTCACCAGTCATAGTCCTGTGAGTGACAGTGGACAGTGAGACAGATCTGAGGGAGAAACTAGTGAGCACAGGCCAGCTGACCAAGGACTGACTCTCCAGTCTTAATTTCAAATGTGGTTTAATTTTTCACCCAACTTAAAAATCTAAATAAATTTTTGTTATCTTCTGTATAGTTAGCAAGAAGTAAGGTGATATGTTCTATAAAATGTACTTTATAAAATTTCATAATTCTTTTCTTCTGGTAACCATGAGGTGCTGTGATCTCTGCACCAGCACATGACTTCATCAGTACTTCTGAATTCCATGAGTTGACACAAACTTCCCCTTAACACTTTCACCTAGGATTGTTCTCCTCCCTTCCTTTGTTTCAACTTTCAAAAATTGCACAATATGCCACAGCCTGAGTCAGCTTGCAAACGCTGCCGGGGTTCCCAGAACTTAAAGTAATTCAGGAATTAAGGAATGTGTGCTTTGGGAGAGGAGTTCATCTGGAAAGCTTCTACATGGAAGCAGTATGTGTCATGCCCCCAGTCCTTTTTACTTTACTTTTTGGGATCTTGCATTTATTCCCCTGGCTGCCTGGACCAGGATATTTATGCTTCCTGCATAGTTGGGATGACAGGTGCATGTCTCACCTGTCATCCAGCTTTTTTATTGGTTGAAATGAGGTCTCACAAACTTTGTTGCACAGGCTAACCTAGGAATAGAATCCTCCCAATCTCCACTTTTCTAGTAGCCAGGATTATAGATATGAGCCATGGCACACAGCCAAGAAGTAAGTTCTGATCTGATCTTTGAAGGGAATATAAGATTTAGAGGGGTTCAGATAAATGTATAAAGGATTTGATGTTGAGGATGAGAATTTCCATGAACTGAGTTGGAAATAAACATAAACATGGAGAATAAGGGATAAAATAAAAGACAAAGGCACATCCAAGCTGGGAAGAGGATTCCATGTTCTCTTTTTTTGTTCCTTCCTTCCTCCCTGCTTCATAGGTGTTGATCATTGTCATATTGTTGTGGAATAGAAGTATCTGCAGGCATGCTAGGATAGCACAGACTGGAGATTAAGAAAGTTTATTTGCTTGCCTGGCTAGACTTCCTCCTCTTTCTCCCAACTCCAAACTTAGGAAGCTAAATTTTCATTGGGAAAATGAGAGGATGCAGGCCTCTTCTTTATTCTTTAATAGATGTGTGATGCTATGCTTTACACTTACAGACCAAGCATATTTTCATACAGCTTTTTAAAAATGATGGTTAGGGTTGGGATAGGAGTGGATGGAAGAGGAAAGTAAGAGATAGAATTGAACTTTAATTCTTTGGAATGAGTACATGAAGTCAAGTTCACTGATTATGAAGGTTCATTGCTGAGATATTTTAGGAGCTCAACAAAGAAAAGATCTCTCTTCCACAGGCAGGGTGTTTGTCCACGAATGGGCCCATCTCCGTTGGGGTGTGTTTGATGAATATAACAATGACAAACCTCTCTACATAAATGGAAAAAATCAAATTAAAATAACCAGGTGAGTACTTTTTCTCATGTTTAAATTTTATTATTTGTTTGACTCTAACATTAATAAATTTACTATATATTTCAAAAAGATAGAAGAAAGAATATTGCATGTTTTTATCATAAAGAAATAAATGTTTGAGAAGGTAGATATGTTTACCTTGATTTAAACATTATGTGAGGTAAATATATAAAAATTAAAAAAAAATTTATAATAGCAACTAAAAATGAATAAGGAGGAGATCTTTCTATTTTTGTTTTTAAATTTTATTGTATTTTTTAACAAAATAGGTAAATAGTTCTGTGGTTTGAATATTAAACAATACAAAAAGTTATACTTAGCTGTCTTGTTTTCATCACTGTCTTCATTCTGTTCCCTCTCATCACCCTCTCATAACCATTTGATTAGTTCTTATTTATTTTCTCTTTTTCTTTGGAAAAATTCAAATAAATATGAATATATATTCTTTCTGGCCCTCTTCAAAATAATTACATAGTATTTCATTGTGTGGATATGCCACAGTTTATTCAACCAGTCCTCTCTCAGTAGACATACAGACTAACATTGCAGATCATGACATTATACACATGCCATTTTTTATGTAATAGGGAGAGCCATATATCTACTAAATTCTTTCAAGAAATACTGGCTCAACAAGTACTCTCAGCTATAATTTTGGTAGAAAGAAATTCAGTGATTCTTCTCCTTAAAATGGCACTGTTTTTCACTACCACCCACGATATTTGAGATTGCTTATTGAGGAAGGAGTATTTTAAATATCATCATTCCACATTCATTCTCTTCTTTCCCTGATGTCCCGTGGACATGGACTCAAGGGAATACTGGCTCCAGATGGTGCTGCTCATGCTCTTCCTTGAGCTGCCCAAAGTTCTTCTGGGCTTCCTAGTCTTTTGTGGTGATACTGTTTGGTTGTTGAGGTTCTTTGACACTACAAAACTCTTCCATCAAGAGCTAATGCTTTAAAATAAAGTGGAGTACATTTCTAAATTAACGTTATTAATTGAGTAGTTTTAAAAAATGTTCATGTATATCAAGCAAGCTACAATACTTGAAACAAATTATTATAAAAGCTAATCAAGAAGAAACACAAGTATTTCTAAAACAGACCCACTCCCAGTTTTTTTCCATTTTTAGGTGTTCTTCTGACATCACAGGCACTTTTGTGTGTGAAAAAGGACTCTGTCCCCAAGAAAACTGTATAATTAGCAAGCTTCTCAAAGAAGGATGTACATTTATCTACGATAGCACCCAAAATGCAACTGCATCTATAATGTTCATGCAAAGTTTATCTTCTGTAAGTATGGCCTTGACAAACTCCTGTAAGGTACTACCACTTCCTTCCATGAACTGATTTGTCTAGTATCTAAAATATAAGACAATTGAGATGGTAACTCAGAGCTCACCTACTTTTTATTTTACATATTAAAAAACTGAGGTGCCTCAGAAGAAAACAAACAGATTTCATTATAAAAGTGATAATTTGCTTCTCAGGGAAGGTGACTTAACAAGGAAACGCTGGAGACCACGAAATAAATTGCTCATATGGGGGTGTTCATTCATAAGAAAACACAGCTGGCTAATGACAGTAATATAACAAATGATTTTATTCCTCTCATTTGAGGTCACAAACCTCTCAGTATTTTAGTTGCATTTCTTAGTACTCTTTCCTTTATTTTGAAATCTAGAACTTTAAAAGAAAGATATCAATTGCCAAGGGAAGTCAAATAACCCTTGCCTTCATCCCCACACCTTGCCAGTATTCCATGGTTACTGACAAGAGACAAGTGTATAAACCCAGAGCACCATTTTTTAAATTATTATTCAAAATTAGTACTCTGTTATGGGGGATCTCATGTTTGTATTCTCTGGCCAGTTCATTTTCTCTATGAAGGAAGCAGCATGGAATAGCCTAATTTTCACCAGAAGCCTTCTCAGAGAGAACATAAAGTCAGAAGTGAAGGACCTGGATGATTCAGAGATTCAGTGGAATTTGCCTTCATGGGCACATCTACCCAGCTTCACAAAACCCTGAAAGTCCTAAGTGGGGTCATCTCCCCACTGGGCTGGGAGCCTGTGGGCATGTGCCTTTGTGGCATTTTCTCTTTGTTTTCATGGCTGACCTACCCCACTTGGATTGAAGTTTATTTTTGTTTTTTATTTGTTTGTTGTTTTAGGTAACTTTTTTTCAGTCTGATTTTAGTCAAGGGTAGGAGTCGTTTCCGCTGTGAAGGTGATTTTTCATATTTGTTGTCCTAGCCATAATGTTTTTAATTTATAGCCTTCATTCCTGAAGCCAACCCAATTTCAGGTATTTGATCCATATTATTTGTAATCCTTTGGAAGACCTACTAAAAAACATCTAGCCACAAAAATTTCATAATCATCTATCCATAGTCTTGAAATGTAGGGAAAGAGAGATAAACAAAACAAAAACAGTTCTGCTCCTGCCTCTACTCTACAGAGAAACTCATGTTCTAAGAAGATATTAATTAACCTTTCGAAACTTCAGGTCCTTGTCTATGAAATTAGAGATGGGACTAGAGTCTATAAATTTCCTTTGACCTATAAGCTCCCATGCTCTGTTATCAGGAATAGAGTCACTGGGAACAGATGGCAGGGCATTTATTTTGCAATGTAAACCATACCTTTAAGTGGAATGTTGACACAAGTTTATTACCATTAAATGAATTTTCTTTATGCTTTAAATGGGGGGGGAAGATTTCAGGGAGATTTAAGTTGGTTTTCCCCTTATCCTATTCTTACAGAGATCAATATTTGAACTAGATAAATATATACTGACTAATTGATAAAGGTACAAGTGGTTAGTTAATATGATTTCACCAGCAGGCTGACCAAGATAGTATCTCCTAGAGGGCTTCTTTAACACAATATCATGATAAGGAAAGCAGGAGATTGTTTTGTGTTTTTACAGACTATTTTATATATGCTTGGTCTGCTCTCTATTATCCAAGAGCAAATAAACCTTAAGAGATTGCTTGCATACCATAAGGGTGCTAATATTTCAAGAAAAGGGTGTTAAGGGTTATTTGCAAATTTGATGTCATTTTTTCAGGAAAGAAGCATATGATTGTAGCACTTCTGATGCTCTTTCTTTCAATTCACTCCTTTTACCTGTACATGGTTGAGAATGAGAAGTATGTTTGGTCTGGGAGAAGTGCTTTTACCTTCTGATAGACTTATTCTTTTTCCAGGTGGTTGAATTCTGTAATGCAAGTACCCACAACCAAGAAGCTCCAAACTTACAGAACCAAATGTGCAACCTCAGGAGTACATGGGATGTAATCACAGACTCCACTGACTTTCATCACAGCTCTCCCATGGATGGGACGGAGTGTCCTCTTCCTCCCACATTCTCCCTCCTACAGGCTGGTGACAAAGTGGTCTGTTTAGTATTGGATGTGTCCAGCAAGATGGCAGAGGTAACATTTTGAACCAAAGTGATTGTAAACCAATCATCACTTTTTTCCTATCAGGTTTTAATTCTTTTTATTTTTCAGGGAGTAATAGTGAGGGTTGGGTGAAGTAAAAAGTTGGAATAGGAAAAGACATCTTATTTTCTTGGGGATGGGAGGAATATACTCAAAATGTGGTCCAGAAATTGAGATAATCAAATAAATAAAATATGCAGATAATTCTTAACCTCATTTTTGCTACTTTTAATGTAAATTGTAACTTTTTTCAACCAAGATCCTTTTATAGAACTCTGATATATAAGGAAAAGCTGCTGTCTGTTCACATTCTACTCACTGGTGACTGAATTTGCATTGAGCATGAATGTCTAGTATGTATATTTTGTCCACATTCTACAAAAGACCCATCTGGCAATCGAGCAGCTGTCTGGAAACCCACTGTGGAAAACTCCATTCCTTACAGTGATTAAAGGCTGGTCTCTAATCAAGCAGATCTTGCTAGGTCTTGGTGCCTTCACTTATAGCCTGTGTAATCGAGAGTAAGCTGGCATCTCTGAAGCACACTTTCTCATGTGTATGACAGGGATATTAGTACCTACTTTCATTAGATTCAACTGTTAAATCTTTAGGAAACATGCAAGTCAGTGGTTAACCACAACCACTATTAAAAATTAAACTGGGGCTTTCAGTATAGATTAGTGGTAGAATGTGTGCTTAGCATGCGTGAGGCCCTGGGTTCATTCCTAGTACCATAAAAGACATTTTTTAACTATGTAAACTTAAATAAAGGCCAAGACTGATCTACTACCTGTTTTTGCATGACTCATAAGTTAACAGTGGTTTTACATTTAAAATAGTTAAGAAAGAAATCAAGTGAATAATATTTTATGACACATGAAAATCATATGAAATTCAAATTTCAATGTTCATAAAGGTGGAATACAGCAACTCATTTACCATGTATCATCTATAGCCTCTTCAGTATTATAATAGCAGAGCTGAGTAGCTATAACAGGGAATGTGTGGCTCACAAAATGTAAAATATTTATTAGCTCACCCTTTACAAAAAATGTCGGCTTATCTCTGATCTATATTCTGAAGGTTATTTCTGGCCTATTATTGTGGGGAGAGATTATGAGAAGCCCATGAGAGCTTGACATAAGCACAGTTGTGTTCAGTGATCTACAGGCTGAGTTTGTCACGGCCCCAGCTGCAGAAGGGGGTGAAGGCAAAATGCAGCACACAGCTTCTTTCCTAAGTTGTTTACAGAGAAAGAAGTAGGAATGCAGGTACAATGTCAGGGCCCTTCCTGAGGACTGTTGCTCCACCTCCTGCTTACCACTGGATATAAAAGACTCGCTGAAGGAGGATGTGAGTTTTTTGATGGGGAATGGAATTGTTGATTGATTGGTGGGCTGCTGAGTTATGCTAGAGATTAGAGGAAACGTGGGACAGCACAAGTCTAGTGGGACAGTGCAAGTCTGAGCACAGAGGCTTTAAGAGAGAACATGGGACAATGCAAATCTAAGGGTGAAGACTCTAAGAGAGATTATGCTAAAGAAGACATGGGACAGTGTGAGTCTAAGGAAAGAGACTTTAAAGAATAGAAAAGAAGACTTTAGAATCAAGGTTTTAAAGAATAACAGAAAAGAATCAAAGTAAAAGAAGAATTAATAGAGAAAAGAAGCAACAAGGCTGTTGTGCGTCTCCATCTGAGTGCCCAGCACACCTGGCCCCAACTTTCTGCATGTTTGTCTTCTATTGTTTGTCCTTTCTGCATCTCCACTAGCCCCCAGTTAGGTCAGGAGAACAGAGCTTGTGAGAAAGCACTCTACATATTATAACTGTACATATTATATCTGTAGATTTATTTTTGTTCAGTAGTGTCACATTGACAACCTAAAATCAGCCATAGTAGGAATATTTATTCCAGGAAAATTGACAGTTGCTACAAATCAGGGTTCTTTTTAAACCAGAAATCTAGCATATCACTGCCTGTTTCATAGAGTTATTGGATGGTGGGGAATAGATGAGGCAATAAATGTGAAGTTTTGGTTCATAAACAGTAGTAAGTGGTAGCTGTTATTTTTATTATACCATTTGCCAAGGAGAGAATTTAGCCTGTCTTCCTCTGAATATTTGCCTTTTTAAAAATCTCTGACAAATTAGGGACTCCACTAGTACAATCAGCATCTGGATAATTGTGTCATGTTGCCTACGTGCAGTTGTCTAGGTCATGATTTTCTCATATTTGGTCTCTGAATAATTTACATTGGCTGTATGCCTCTGTTAAACAAGAACAGATGGAGCGAAAGTGAAGGATAATTGTACTTGACAGAATACATGAAATAAGTAGGACAGAAATAAGCTCAAAGTAACAAGTTCACAGTAAAGTGACCGTTCCTCCCTTTTCCTGCCAATGTTGTCTTTGACCCATTATAGTCACTCATTCATTTATCTGGTGCCCACATTATGCTGGCTGGGGAAAAGAGATGATAAGAGCAGAGTATGTGCCTTGAAACACAATCTAATTAGGAAAAGATTACCCACTGTGAATAAATATATTACAGTGTGATCAGCTCCACAGAGCTGTGAGTGGGGGCCTTGAAGAAGCAGCATTCTATTGCTGTACAGGAGAGTAGTGGGAGAAGACTTCACTGAGAGCGTGGACTTGGATTTGACTCTTCAACGATGATTAGGTTGGGTGAGGTGAAAGAAGAGAAAGGAGGACATTTCCAAGATGGAAAGAGTAAGCAGTGGCCAAGAGACAATATCAGACGGATTTGTTCAAGGGAGGGGTCCGATGACTAACACTGGATGGATCTAAGGAAGTGGCAGATGTGATGGAGATGGTATGGATGCAAGAGAAATTTAAGGCATTGAATTGCAAGGACCTGTTCTAGGTCATGAAGGCTATGAGAGGAAGAGTAAAGGAGTCAAGTTTCTAATTTATCTAGTTGGGAATAGCAATCACCACTGGGAATGATGACTTGACCACGATGTTGGTAGTAGCTATTACATTCTGAGTGTCTACTCAGCGTTTTTTGTGAAAATGAGAAAACCAAGCTCCAAAAGGAGAATTTTTCTATGGCCACATAATTATAAAAGTATGTGACAATATTCAAAGTCCTTTTTCTCCATTCTATTAACTTACTTCCCAATTTGTAAGGGAAACAATATTGGGAAGAGAGGTAATGAATCAAAAATGTGTAGATTTGTGAGACCCACATTAAATTAGTGGTGTGTCCTAAGAAGTGTGAGATACAGACCTGGATATTAAGGGAGATACCTGGGTTGGAGACAGAGGTCACAGTCAGCCCTGAACAGGTGGCCATTGAAGCTCAGTCTGCCCCACCTTTCTCTTCCCTCACAGCCTGCAATCAAGTGATCCCAATGAATTAATTAGTAGCATTACCTGCCCAAATTTACTACTCATATTACTTTATCCTTGGTTAGTACCTCATCTGTAACTGCCATATACCGATCTCAGTTAATCCTCACAACAATTTCAATATAACAACTAATAAAGTTATTATTATCCCCACTTACAGATAAGAGGTGCACCAAAGATGACCTTCATAACAGAGGGTAGTCACAGAAGAGACTCTGGTTCCTCTAATTGCTACTTCTCTCCTCCATAAATCCTTTTGCAATATCTCCTCTTACTTGGACTGACTTTTGAAAGAAGCAGTTATAAACTTATTCTAATTGGTTCTATGGGTTTTTTTAATTCTGAGTTGGAGAGAAATAATAAGGATATGTGTTCTTAATTATGACTAGCTCATTCCAACCACATTTTTCCCGTAAAGTATGCATTTTTGAGCTTGCAATTAATCAAACAATATTCTACCATGTCACTCTTTACAACTCAAAAAATTGTGGTGCGACCTTTCAAAAGACTTAGCAGAGATATTTGCTAATTGAGTTATTTAATCATACTTTTGTTTACCAATCAAATGATGTTACTTTTCCTCTTTTTCCTTTATGGGATACAGGCTGATAGACTCTTTCGAATGCAACAAGCAGCTGAATTTTACTTGATGCAGATCGTTGAAGTTCGTACTTTTGTGGGCATCATCAGTTTTGATAGCAAAGGAGAAATCAGAGCCCATCTTCACCAAATTAACAGTGATGATGACCGCAAGCTGCTGGTTTCACGTCTGCCTACCACTGTGTCAGCTGAAGCAAAACCCAGTATCTGTTCTGGGCTTAAGAAAGGATTTGAGGTATAGTAGAGTATCCTAAGCCTCAATCACCTTCACAGTGCATGATGCCCTTGGTTCAGTCTCCAGCACCAACTTGCTTGGGTTTCAATCCCCAGAGATTCCAATTCATTGGTCTGTGGTATGGCCTGGCCATTAGCATTTTTTAAGTATCTAATTCTAAAGTGCAGCCTAGATTGAGAGACTGCTCTAAGCCCTCTTATTGGTCACATCTAGATCTCAGAGGCAAGGCTCTCATACAATAATTTATCCCCTGTATTCCCTATGATAGACACTGTCCTAAACTATGGGCACATCATAGTGATACAAATAAGGAAAGTCCCTACCCACAAGCAAGCTGGCAATGATGTGTAGGGTGGCAGATGCTGTGACGGGATGAGATGAGAAGTGAGTGGAGGTGGGGCATGGAGTGTAGGGAGCTATGAGGGACTTGGAAGAGGCATATGCCCCACTGCCCGCTGGTGGGGAATTTAGAATGAGAGTGAAGTCTGCTTGATACTACATTTCCTTCCAAGTGACTGATGCCCTATGTTCAGGTGGTTGAAAAGCTGAATGGAAAAGCTTACGGCTCTATAATGATATTGGTGACCAGTGGAAACGATGAGCTCATTGGCAACTGCTTGCTCACTGTGCTGAGCAGTGGTTCTACCATTCATTCCATTGCCCTGGGCTCATTTGTGGTTCAAAAACTGGAGGAATTATCACATCTTTCAGGTAAAAAAAATTCTACAAAGTTATCTTTGATGGCATTTCCTTTAACTTTGAATATTCAAAGCACAAGCATGAAACTTAGCTACATGGCTTCATTGAAAAAAATAGAAAAATGCACAAATCATAGCTAAAACTCAGGCAAAATTTTGCTGACTTTTTAACATTTTTCCCTAGAAAGTCCAAATTATATGCATCCATCATATTACTATTTTTATAATTTTTTGTTAAGCCAGACCAATAATGTATAATCATAGAACTAAAACTTATGTTTGACTAACTATACTAACTTCTATGATAGGAAAACACACAGTATAGATAGTATTGTAAGATACTTAGCTTTTTTGTTTTAAATGAGGCACAGAATAATTTTATATCCTCAAAATTCTTATTGAATTAGTTTTAAAACAATGTTCTCAGAAAATATATAACAAAGTATATAATAGCAATTGACCTAAAGTATTTAGGAATTAGTTTGAGCTCAGTAAATTTTTGTTGAGTTCTTTTATAGGGGGAATAGTTCTAGCCCCTAACAACATAGCTATGAATAGAACAAGTGGCCTTAGGGCCACTTGCCATGTGACTATGTAGTATGTCATGCAAAATTAGTCAAGCACAGCTCCTACTTCCCCAGAACTTACTCTCTAATGCAAACAAAATTTGTCGGAAAAAGTTTAGCTTTTTATTGTTTGTTTTATTTTATCTTTAATAGTTAATATTTCAATCATGTTTTTCAGGAGGTTTAAAGTTCTTTGTTCCAGATAAAACAAACTCCAATAGCATGATTGATGCTTTCAGTAGAATTTCCTCTGGAACTGGAGACATTTTTCAGCAAAGTATTCAGGTCAGAATTTCCTAAAAGTTGTATTTATCGATGGGAGAAGTAGGAAACAAGGGAAACAGATGAATTGTGCTAACTACTTTGTTAACCTTGTCTCTGTGTGGAAGGTTTTTAATGGGCTTCTTGGTGTCATCAGAACCATACTTCATTTTCACCTGATATCTGTGCTTCTCATTTCTAGGAGCCATTTTCTACCATAAGTATTTCAGTTTTACAAGTCTGTGAGATAGCTTACTTCTTTGGGGCTCAAAATTCAGGTAGAGCTAGGGGTGGAGTGGAGAGGCATGGCCTAAAAGAAAAATAAGAAACTGTATTTAATTATAGATACACTATAATTTCAATTCACTGAGACGGCATTTTACTTTTACTTCTCTACCATCTTTGAAGTTCCTCACTTGTATAAAGACTATCAACTAATTCATTAAATTCTAAAAATTTCTAAATATATCTTTAGTTAGTACAAGCTATTTGATTTCGGTCATAAAAGCTTATTTTAATCAAACTGTTTTTAGAAGGGCCAATTTTTCTTTCTAAATACTTTAAAGATATTTTGGGCATAATTAAATAATGTTTTAAAAGGAATTTCATCTGTAGTTTCCTCATAGATGGTGAGTGAACCTGCCAAGTCAATGGCTTGATGTAAACAATGAGCTCAGTAAATTACTGTAAGGAAATATTTAACATGAAGATTATGTGTACACAGTAAAGGCAGTAGTCATCATTAGAAGTAAAAAAGAAAGAAAAAGTCCCAAGATAAATTGGAATCAAGCTCTCAAATGTGAAAGATAAAGAGAAGATTCACAAGGTAGTAAGAGAAAAAAAATGAATGACACATAGGGTGTCCCAAATTGTCTGACAGCAGACTTCTCTGTAGAAATCTTATACTACTAGAGAAAGTTTCATGATACTGAAGGAAACAAAGAAAATCTGCCCACCAAAGAATACTGTATCTACCATAACCAGCAAAGTTATCTTTTATAAGTGGAAAGCTAAACACAGTCTTAAGAACAACAGCTGAAACCACATATGTCCACCACACCCATCCTGTAAGAAATGCTAACTGGAGTTCTCAGGACTGACAGAGTAGCTCGAACGGTAATAGTGGCTGCCCAGCAAGCATGAGACCCTGAGTTCAATCCCCAGTCCTGCCAAAATAAATAAGTAAATAAAAATAAAAGGGTTCTCCAAACTGAATGAGCAAGAGGAAAACATCAGGGTACATAACTCACTGTTAGAATCTTTATACAGACAAATTCAGAATGCTCTAATATTACAAACTTTGCACATAAAACATTCATATCTTTAGTGAGAAGACAAAAAATAAAATGATCAAAAATAATAATCACACTAATATGTTTAAAGATAAGCAATAGAAAAATGTAAAATGAAACATCAAAAATTTAAAATGTAGGGAGGAAAAGAGTGCAAGTGCAGTTTATTAGTATATTTTCTCTTTCTCTTTTTTCTTTTTTTATCTTTATGATGTTATTTTGCTATACTTTCAAAATAGCTTGGCATAATCAAAAATTGGTTTTTGTAAGCTTCATGATAACCACAAAGTAAAAATCTATAATAGACAAACCAAAAGCAGCAGAGGAACAATCAAGGAATCAAAATACACTACTAGAGTAAATCATATAACCACAAAGGATAACTGTGAGAGAAGGAGAAAAAAGGAACTACAAGAGAAAACAACTTAAAAATGGCTGTGATAGGATCCTACCTTAAATGTAAGTGGATTAAATTCTCCATTTAAAAGATACAGAGTGACTGAATAAATTAAAAACAAAACAAAACAAGCCCCAGATATCTGTTGATTATAAGAAACTCATTTCACCTATAAGGACATACATAAATTAAGAGTAAAAAGAATTAGATCTCTCACACAAATAGACTCCAAAAGAAAGCAAGAGTAGCCATTCTTCTATCAGATAAAATATATTTTAAATCAAAATCAGTGAAAAGAAACAAGGATGGTCATTATATGACCTAATGGTACATCTCAAACTCCTAGAAAAACAAGAACAAACAAATCCCAAAACAAATAGGAGAGAAATAATAAAAATAAGAGCGGAAATCAACGAAATAGAAACCAAAAAAACCATACAAAGAATTAATGGATCAAAAAGTTGGTTCTTTGAAAAAATAAACAAGATCGATAGACCCCTGGCAAACCTGACTAAAATGAGGAGAGAAAAAACCCGAATTAGTGAATCAGGAATGCAAAAGGGGAGATAACAACAAACACCATGGAAGTCCAGGAAATCATCAGAGACTACTTTGAGAACCTATATTCAAATAAATTTGAAAATCTTAAAGAAATGGACAGATTTCTAGATACATATGATCATCCAAAACTGAACCAAGAGGAAATTAATCACCTGAATAGACCTATAACACAAAATGAAATTGAAGCAGCAATCAAGAGTCTCCCCAAAAAGAAAAGTCCAGGACCTGATGGATTCTCTGCTGAATTCTATCAGACCTTTAAAGAAGAACTGATACCAACCCTCCTTAAACTGTTCCATGAAATAGAAAGGGAAAGAAAACTGCCAAACACATTTTATGACGCCAGTATTACACTTACCCCAAAACCAGGCAAAGAAACCTCCAAAAAAAGAACTATAGGCCAATCTCCTTAATGAACATTGACGCAAAAATCCTCAACAAAATAATGGCAAACCAAATTCAACAACACATCAAAAAGATTATTCACCATGACCAAATAGGCTTCATCCCAAGAATGCAGGGGTGGTTCAACATATGAAAAGCAATAAACGTAATAAACCATATTAACAGAAGCAAAGACAAAAACCACTTGATTATCTCAATAGATGCAGAAAAAGCAACACCATTTCATGATAAAAGCTCTAAGAAAACTAGGAATAGAAGGAAAGTACCTCAACATTAAAAAAGCTATATATGACAAACCTACAGTCAGCCTTATACTTAACGGAGAAGAACTGAAACCATTCCCTCTAAAATCAGGAACCAGACAAGGATGCCCACTATCTCCACTTCTATTCAACATAGTACTGGAATTCCTAGCCAGAGCAATTAGGCAAGAAGAAGGAATAAAAGGAATACAAATAAGTAAAGAAACTGTCAAAATATCCCTATTTGCAGATGACATGATCCTATACCTTAAAGACCCAAAAAACTCTACTCAGAAACTTCTAGACATCATCAATAGCTAAAGCAAGGTAGCAGGATATAAAATCAACATAGAAAAATCATTAGCATTTCTATACACTAACAATGAGCAAACTAAAAAGAATGTATGAAAAAAATCAAATACCTAGGTGTAAACCTAACAAAAGATGTGAAAGACCTCTACAAGGAAAACTATAAACTTCTGAAGAAAGAGATTGAGGAAGACTATAGAAAGTGGAGGGATCTCCCATGTTCATGGATTGGTAGAATCAACATAGTAAAAATGTCGATACTCCCCAAAGTAATCTACATGTTTAATGCAATTCCCATCAAAATTCCAATGACATTCATTAAAGAGATTGAAAAATCTACCGTTAGATTTATTTGGAAACACAAGAGGCCACGAATAGCCAAGGCAATACTCAGTCAAAAGACCAATGCTGGAGGTATCACAATACCTGACTTCAAACTATATTACAAAGCAATAACGATAAAAACAGCATGGTACTGGCACAAAACCAGACATGAAGACCAGTGAAACAGAATAGAGGATCCAGATATGAAGGCACACAACTATAACCAACTTGTCTTTGACAAAGGAGCTAAAAATATACGATGGAGAAATAGCAGCCTCTTCAACAAAAACTGCTGGGAAAACTGGTTAGCAGTCTGCAAAAAACTGAAACTAGATCCATGTATATCACCCTATACCAAGATTAACTCAAAATGGATCAAGGATCTTAATATCAGACCACAAACTCTAAAGTTGATACAGGAAAGAGTAGGAAATACTCTGGAGTTAGTAGGTATAGATAAGAACTTTCTCAACAAAACCCCAGCAGCACAGCAACTAAGAGATAGCATAGATAAATGGGACCTCATAAAACTAAAAAGCTTCTGTTCATCAAAAGAAATGGTCTCTAAACTGAAGAGAACACCCACAGAGTGGGAGAAAATAGTTGCCAGCTATACATCAGACAAAGGACTGATAACCAGAATATACAGGGAACTTAAAAAACTAAATTCTCCCAAAACTAATGAACCAATAAAGAAATGGGCACGTGAACTAAACAGAACTTTCTCAAAAGAAGAAATTCAAATGGCCAAAAAACACATGAAAAAATGTTCACCATCTCTAGCCATAAAGGAAATGCAAATTAAAACCACACTAAGATTCCACCTCACCCTTGTTAGAAATGCCATCATTAGCAACACCACCAACAACAGGTGTTGGTGAGGACAAACCCTCTTTTTTTTTTTTTTAACTGCATTTGGGGCCCATTTATTTATATAATTACACAAAGAAAAGTTAGCACATTTTAGCCTCTTCAGTCTGGTCAGAAAATTGAAAGCCATGTAACATGAAGTAACTAGAAAATTAACTTTTGTCTGGTATTTCTTTTTTTTAATTGTTTTATTATTCATATGTGCATACAAAGCTTGGGTCATATCTCTCCCCTGCCCCCACCCCCTCCCTTACCACCCACTCCACCCCCTCCCTATCTCCCCCACCCCCTCAATACCCAGTATAAACTATTTTGCCCTCATCTCTAATTTTGTTGAAGAGAGAGTATAGGCAATAATAGGAAGGAACAAGTGTTCCTGGTTGAGATAAGGATAGCTATACAGGGAGTTGACTCACATTAATTTCCTGTACGTGTGTGTTGCGTTGTAGGTTAATTCTTTTTGATCGACCATTTTCTCTAGTTCCTGGTCCTCTTTTCCTATTGGCCTCAGTTGCTTTTAAGGTATCTGCTTTAGTTTCTCTGTGTTAAGGGCAACAAATGCTAACTAATTTTTTAGGTGTCTTACCTATCCTCACCCCTCCCTTGTGTGCTCTCACGAAAAGG